CTATAAAGCAAAATGAACAAACAAAAAAACCAAAATACAAAAAAAGACTTATACAGACAGCAAACTAGTAGCTGTCAAGGGGGAAGGGAGTTGAGAGAGTGAGAGAAAAAAATAAAGGAGATTAAGAGGTACAAAGTTCCAATTATAAAATAATTTAGGTATGGGATGAAGGTACAGCATAGGGAATTTAGTGAATAATATTGTAATAACTTTGGAGACAAGGAGTAACTATGTTTATCTGTTTCATATGTATGTGAGTTGAATCACTATTTTGTATACCTGAAACTAATATAATATTAGTTGTCAACTATATGTCAAAAAAGTAAAGCACAAAACCTTAAAAGACAAAAATGATTAGACCAATAACTATGGAAGATTTAGAAAAAAACTTTCAATATAGTCAGAAATTCATTTTTATAAAATACTTCTGATAAATTCTATATTTTAAAAAACATAAAAGAGGGGATCCCTGGGTGGCGCAGCGGTTTGGCGCCTGCCTTTGGCCCAGGGCGCGATCCTGGAGACCCGGGATCGAGTCCCACGTCGGGCTCCCGGTGCATGGAGCCTGCTTCTCCCTCCTCCTGTGTCTCTGCCTCTCTCTCTCCCTCTCTCTCTCTCTCTCTCTCTCAGTGTGACTATCATAAATAAAAAAAATAAAATAAAAAAACATAAAAGAAAAAAAGGGCGTAGAAGATATGATGATGTTGTAAGAGCCTAGCTTTCCTCTGCTTGACTAAAAAAAACAAAAAACAAAAAACAAAACTATAGAGGTGTTTCAAATATGAACATTAACATAAAATGAGAAACAAAATAATAAATCAATAAATAAATATTAATGGTAAACTATTAATGTGCATCCATCCCACAGTGCAAATAGAGCTTAGTATAGCAATAGAATTGTTTACAAACATGAAAACTTTTAACAAAATTTCTCACATCATCTACTCATAGGAGAATTAAAATGAATTTCATTGTATTCTAAATAGGAATTGCTTCTATTTACATATGTGTTAGCCTTATCTCTGGAAATGTATTTTACATATTTTGCAAATCCTAATACATATGTAAGTTCTTTGCAACAGAAATCCTTTTTTTCTAGAAATTTATTCTAAATAATTAAATATATTCTAAAAGCCTCCCATCAATTCATAATTAAGGAAAGCTAATATTGAACAAATGACCTGTGATGAAAAATAACATACGTATTATTTTGGTATCCTGTTTGCAACAGAATTGTATGAAGTCGTTAAGTGTTATAGCCATATTGTAAAAGAAGATTCAATGCCTAAGGAATACTTTTAGTTTATACAGCATAGAGATAGGGGCAGATTGGGAAACAGTAGATGAGGCTTTATTCCTAAAAAAAGTTAAAAAGTGACGAATTGTCTGCTGTAGAGAAGTACATGAGTCAAAAAAAATATATATCAGTTTAATGGTATTCTTTTCCCTCAAAAGTTGATTGGATAATTTTATTTACTTATTTGTTTTCAAAAGATGATATATACTATTTCTAAGTTAGACACATTTAAATGTGTATTTTGAATCCTTTGATAATCAAGTTAAGGATATCAACATAGTTATAAGAATAATACAAAATGACAGACAGAAATTCAAAGTAAACAGCTATGTTACATTATTAGTATCACTGATTTCTTTCTTCCTCTAGACCATAATTATTAGTTTGTACAAAGCTGAATACATCTTACTTTATTATCTCCCTCCATGGCTTTTCCCCTCAACTCCACTTACAGTACTACAAACCCTCACAACCTAGTATAAAGAAAAACTATGTATATAAAAACAAAGCAGAATGCTAGAAGTTCTTCAGAAGCTTTGCTGTGTATAGCAATGTATATACTTTATAGAGATCTGATATAATACCAACAACAGAAGTCTGTTTAACAATATTCATAGTAATATAATTTGTTACATGATTTTAGTATTTTGCATGCCATGCCCCAAATTTGTCATTTGACAATACACCCTTCTGGAATATTCACACCATGACTGAGAAATTGGCATGTTTTCAGTTCTTCAGAATAAAGTTGCATGTTTGACATGTTATAATTATCCCTCATTTCTCCTTTACTTTAATTTTAAATGCTTCATTTTAGAAATAGGCTAGCAGTAAAATAGACTGTTGTTTGTATAATAACCGCCAGTATTTAATTCTCATTTTATTTCTCTTGGGATTAAATTCTCATAGACCCTGTCACAGTTTAAATCCAAATTAAACACTTTTATTTGAATTGGTGTTTTCTTCATTTGTTCTGATCCGTAAAGCACTTTAAAGTGTGAGCAAGAGGTGTGTTATATAAATGCAAATGATTGAAAGTGAGATTGTTAAATATTAGTGTACAGGAAGTCAACAGAATTATTAACATGAACTATGTTACCAACAAAAGAAAAACTTCATAGAAAATTATAAAAATAAAATATATCCAAACTTTTCTAAATAAAAAAATTAGTTACTAAAACATTCACCAAATTATTTATATTTGAAAGATAACAACAACAAAAATTATAAATAAAGGCAAAGTTTCAGAAAATTTAAAGATATTTAACCTAAGTATCTTGTTTTAAAAAAATCACAGAGCAACAAATATCTTGAATCTAGTTACCCTCCTATTTACCAGCAGAATAGAATTAAACTGGCCATTACACTTTCTGATTCAATCTTTTTTAGACAAAATATACCTTTTTCTTTAAAGATTTCATTTGTTTATTTTAGAGACAGAAGAGAGACAGTAGAGAGAGTGTGAAGGGCAGAGGGAGAAGGAGAGAGAGAATTTCAAGCAGACTCCATGCTGAGGGAAGAGTCTGATGTGGAGCTTGATCCCAGGACCCTGAGATCATGACCTGGGCTGACACCAAGAGTCAGACACTTAACCAACTGTGCCACCCCAACACCCCTAGATGAAACAGATCGTAATTTAAATAGAATGTGAGATAAATAATTGAAATACTAATTTTTATGTATTTTTTAAAAACTCAGATATTATCAATGATATCATGAAAAAGAGATACTGAGATTTTTTTTCTTTAAAAATTATTGCTGCAATGAAATGTTCTTTTTAATTTTTGAAGATTTTATTTATTTATTCATGAGAGACAGAGAGAGAGAGAGAGAGAGAGAGAGAGAGAGGCAGAGACACAGGCAGAGGGAGAAGCAGGCTCCATGTAGGGATCCGGTGTGGGACTTGATCCCAGGACTCCAGGATCACGCCCTGGGTCATTAAACCACTGAGCCACCCAGGGATCCCCTGAAATGTTCTTGTATGTATTTACACATACATGTACACACAACATACATATATATACTCTGGGTTTTTATTGGATGGGACTGAGTCCAAAAGGAAAAAAAAAAGGTTTGAAATGTTGATATTCAACATTTTCATTAAAATAGCAGGAGGCACAAATAGTTTCCTCATTGAAAGCTAGGATCAGAAGAAATAAACATTTGAAATAGATTGGTAATCTTAAGCAGAATCTATGAAAATATTTCTAATATAAATGTATCAACAGTACTTAATTAAAAATAAGAGAAGAACACTTTCTCCCCCAATTAGCCTGTAGTATACACATTGCTAATGTTAGACTAGAATAAAATGTTTTTTCCTTAGGAGAAAATATGAACTCATGCAAAGGGTCACATTAGGATGTGCTAAAAGAATAATTTGATATTTGAAATGTTCTTATGTATGCACAAAACATTCAACATTGTGCTTCTGCTTTAGAGTGAAGGTTAGTCCAGATTTTTCTCAACTAAAGGATTTGCATTCAATAGCCTTCTTTCATTGCCTATTTATCTCTACTAATGTTTTCATTTTTAGAGGTTTGGGAATGCTGAAATATGAATTTAACTGAAATATTCATTTCAACTGATTTTGGACAAATTGCTCCTCTGTTTTAAGAAATTAGACTAGCTCAGCATTCTTTTCCAGCCACTTTTCTCAATCAGGCATATTAGGTTAGATTAGAAAATGCATATTATAAGTCACTAAAGCATTTAATTTCTCAAACAAAATTATATTGCAGCTATATTTAAAGGTTTTTTTCTACAGTATTATTAAACACAGTATGATACAGTAAGCTTTCTTTATTATTCTAATAATATTTTCCTTTCCTTACACTTAAAAAATGGTGGCAGCAGAGAAGCTCATCCTATCTGGAGGACAACATGACAAAGCATCATTCTAACACCAAATTCTACAACGTGCAGCAAAAGGGAAGAGATGAAATTATAAGAATGTTCAGTTGGTTTCTACTGAAGTGTGTTAGATTGCAGAATGGCATCCCATGGGACGTAATGGAAGTTCTCTTACTGGAATCACTTGAAATCTCTCCCAGACAGAATATGTCAGAATATATTGCCTGGAACAATCTCATATTGGAACTGAGAGAGACACGATGACCTAGAAGTCTTTTCCTTCTCTAGCTTCTAATATTTTAGGATTCTGTACATAGAAAAAAAATATTAAAGTCTAAGGTGCAGTTTTAGACACCATTGAATTATTTGTATAGTTTTATAATTGTGTACAGAAATTTCAGGTAGTGGTCTATAGACAGAAATATTGCAGAAAAATATGCTGAAATTTACAAATGGATTATGTTAATGTACCAGTGCAAGTTTCTCTGGAACTGTACCATGGTTTATATTCATGCAATCTAATGTGGTCCTCTAAAAGAAGTTACTGAAATTCATAGTGTTTTGTGTTAAGTGTACTGAACATATAAAATATGCTGATATAATTTCTATTGAAAATCTAACCTAAGGAATAAAAACAAAGTAAACTATAGTTTCTCTTACTGATACATGTCTTCTAAAAATAAGAAGTGTCTTGGAAATATATTTTTAAATGAGAATAAATGCATTAGAAATTCTAAATTACTTATACTTTTGAAAATTAATATAATAATGTCATTTTAAATATAGTTAACTCTAAAAATAGTGTGAAACTCTGCATGTCTACTTCAAACTATCTTAAATATGTACTTACTTAGCTATAGAGAATGAACTGACTGGACAAAAATATCCTTTGATATTGTTCTTAGAAACTTTATAAGATGATCACAGCTTGACAAAATCTAAAAAAAGAAAAAAAATGAAGGTTTGAGTGGAAAGTTTACCTTAAGAAATGACACTCTTTTTAAATAGTACATTTTAGACAGAAGTATTGGTTATCTTTAGCAGTTTTTAAGCATTTTTTAATGTAATATTAACTTTTTTTTTCCCCAAAAAAAACTAGCATTATAAAGGTGACAAGATAGAAATGGTGGACAGGCTATAGATAAAAAGAGAGCCATAGGACATGTAGCCAAATGTAATAACTGAGGCTCATTTGTATTCAAATTTAAAATAAAAAAATATTTTCTGATAAGCAGTGAAATTTAAACACAAACCAGATATTGAATATTATTAAATATTTATCAAAAAATGGCATAATTTTTGTGATTATGTCACAAAAACTAATTTGTAGGTAGGCAATAGCAGGCATATATGTGAAACAGTGTTTTAAAGTAGGTGTCATTGGTGAAGCTGCAGGATTCAAAGTTCATGATCCTCTTCTCTCTACATTTGCATATGCTTAGAAACTTCCATAAAGCTTCCATAAAACTTACCTAAAGCTTCTGTATTTATCTGTAGTGTTTGTTGTTGTGTTTTTCTAAATGTAATTTACTATATTGATGCTTGAATTAGTATAGCACCAGTACAAACAACTTTTCCTTTTATTGCAATATGAAAATAATATAGAAAAGCACAAAAAACAGGTTTATTATCTCTATAGATGTTAATTCTTTTCCTTTCTGGAGATTCTGCATGACAGGCATTTTAGACATTTTTATAATCCTGTTGTCTTCCTTGGATTTTGTCATCAGTAATTGTGGATATTATTCACAAAGGTGTAATGCGTATTCATTTAAGGATGGCTTTCAGGCTGTTTAAATCATTTAACAAAATTTCAATGATTGTTTCAAAACCCATTTTACACAAGCCAATCCCAGGTGCTCTGATATATAGTCAAATTGGGCTGATACTGTAAGCTCACAAGGAAAAAAGGTTCACAATCTTATGCCTATACACAAAAACTTAAGACCTTGAATCTGTAGAAGGTGAATTATCAGTGGAGAAATCACCTGCCAGAAATATTAATGTCGTTATTTTAGTCTCTAAGAGTCTCTGAGTATCATTTTTGCTTATAGATCTACCTATGCCACCTTAAAAAAAAAATCCCTGACAATAAGAACTCAAAGTCAAAGCTTCAGGCACTTATCAATTTCTGTTCTTTTTGAAATCTTGCAAAATAAAGTAAGTTGTCTGTAAATTCAGTTTATAGAAGGCATTAGATATTTTTCTAAACAGAATCTGATAGAATTATTGTTTATTACACTTACATTTTATGTATTTTCCAAGAAGAAATATTTCAGCAAACTCATCTACTGGGGCCTACAATGAGACTTTTAATTATCTTAAAATTCTAAAATTTCTTAAAATTCTTAAATTAAAAAATAAACTGATGGCTGATATTCTTAATATCTCTAGTATGCTAAATATTTATCAATAAGTTTACATATATGGACATATTTTCTCTTAAGGATAATTAGGAATAAAGGCATGAGTGAAATATTAAATCTTGTGAAAAATAATGCTATTGAGACAGTCACAAATTTATATAGAGGGAGCATAAGGAGAGGAAAGACATTCTTACACAATTCAGGAAAGCACTTCTCAAAGAGAGGGGATAGATTTGCTTAGAGCATTTAATATCAAAACTTAATCAACTTCACAATTGGGTAAGTGGTCCACATAATATTTCTAATTCTCCTTCAGTTCCTTGGAGGAAGATAAATAAAATCTTAAAGTTCACATGCCCGCTGTAATGATCCACCTATGGGACAAAATGCTGTCTGTTAATAATTTCAGTAGTGTTCAGTATCAAATTCACTGAAAATAGTGATATATGGATGTCAAATTTATCAAAGAAATGTAACAAATCATTACTAGAAAATACAGAAGAATAGCACATTTAAAATCATTTTAAAATCTTGATTACATTCCTTTCTTATGCAAGAAAAAAATTTGGGTTTCTGTAAAGTCTTTCCAAGTAAATTTTACTGAAACTTGTCACCTGCTCAAAAATAAAAACCTAAAGGTTTGTGACTACTTAGCTCAACTAATTATTAGTTTGTGACTAACATCCCTGGACTTATGTTTACACTTCAATAGTAGGCAAATCACCCTAACTCTGACTTCTAAATTTGCTGATACTAGTAACATCTCTCTCTTTCCTAAAAAAAAAATAATTTACATTCCAAAGGGTTTAAGAACCCCAAATCCTTCCCATTATATTTCTGAAGAGATTCTCTGTGAAGGGGAAGAGAGACAGCTAAATCTCCTATATAACTCTCCACACTTACTTTTTTGAGATGCTTCATTTAAGTAGACTCCACCATTTATAGGATGACATTTGATTCTCCTGTTTCACTCCAGAGTGAAGAACTGGGACAAAGAAGAAAGGCATGCTTATTTTCTGTACCTAGTTAATTGTTCCTTTTAATATACCTTGTGTTGGCAATCAGGGTAATATTTATACATACAGATATTACAACTAAATCCTCATATTGTGGAAATTTACAGGGGTTGGGTAACAACACAAATGTATACCTTTTTTTAAATAAAGTCATCCAATGCTGTCCAGAATTCCACAATTCAATAATTCAAGGACTCAAGAAGATAATTTTTTTTAAAAAACCTTTTTGAGGTATTTATAGATTTCATAGAAACTTGTGTCTCATGAGCACTTCCTCCAGTTTAAACCAATGTTAACATCTTGAATAACTATAGTGCAGTGTGAAAACCAGGAAATAGATACTCATGCAAACCATAGATATTATTCAGATATTACCGATTATAAATTCACATATTTGTGTGTGTGTGTGTAGCTCTATGCTATGTTATTACAAGTGACATAACTATATTTGGCCAAAATCAAGTAACCATGATGACCGAAATCAAATTACTTACTGCACCTTGATTCCAAGATTCCAATATTTTACTCTTATAAAGCCATGTCTTTCCTCCATCTTAAACGCCTAACAACCACTAGTTTTTCATCTTTATAATGCTATATATACTCACTACTAGGATAAAAATGAAATCACGAAAAATGTATTCTTTTAGCTTTATTCCATTCAGCATGATTTCTTTGAAGTCCCAAAAAGTCATTGTATGCATCAATTTATCCATTTGTATTGTTGATTAGTGTCCCATGGTATAGATGTACCACAAATTGCTTTTTCATCATTGAAGGACCTTTGGATAATGTCCAGTTTCTGGCTATTCTTAATAAAACTGTCCTGAACATTCATTTACATATTTTAATATGAAAATATTTTCAGTTTTCTAGGATATCTTCCCAAGGAAGTAACTGCCAGGGCATATGTAAGTCCTTTTTTTTTTTTTTTTTTTTTTTTTAAGTTTTAAGAGAAACTGCCAAACTCTTTTCCAGAGTAGCTGTACACTTTCATACTCCTACCAACAATGTGTGAGTGGTTCAGTTTCTCCTCCTCCTCATCCACATTTGGTGAGAACACTAATTTTATGTTTTAGCTGTTCTGTTAGGAATGTAGTGATATTTGCTGGTAATTCTAATGTGCCTTTTTCTTATGGCTAATGATTGATCTTTTTTCATCTTGTCATCTCTATATTCTCTTCACTAAAATGTTTGTTTGGGATCCCTGGGTGGCGCAGCGGTTTGGCGCTTGCCTTTGGCCCAGGGCACGATCCTGGAGACCCGGGATCGAGTCCCACGTCGGGCTCCTGGTGCATGGAGCCTGCTTCTCCCTCTGCCTATGTCTCTGTGCCTCTCTCTCTGTGACTATCATAAATAAATTTAAAAAAAATAAAAAAAACTAAAATGTTTGTTTAATGTCCTTTGAACATTTTTATTGTATTTTTTTTTACTGTTGAATTTTGGGAGTTCTTTATATACTCTAGATACAAATTCCTTGTCATATATATGATTTGTAAATATTTTCTTCCGCATTAAAATCTATCTTTGCATCCTCTTGACAGGATCTTTCACAGAGCAAACGTTAATTTGATGAGGTCAAATTTATAAAATCTTTTCATGTATTGGATTTTTTATAAGTCTAAGAAATATTTTCCTCTCAATTAATTCATGTTGTCTGTGACCAAGAAGAAATAACATAGACAAGGATTGTCAATATGCTTCAGAAGAAAATATCACAGATGTAGCCCGTCTTTTGCAAGCACCCTCACTGGATTTATCAATATTTCATGTTGATAACAAACGGGATGAGGATGAGATTTGGTCAGATTTGTTAAGTCCTACTTGAGGAAATGGAACTCAGCAGTTATCTGTTAAAATTGCTAATTAGCTGAAAATACTCTAAGATGTTCTGAAACCTTCGAAAACAGACTTTTGCAGTTATGATACTATGGATAGTAAAGAAACTTACACATATGTAAATCTTTATACTCATTCACTTAGGAAATGTAAAATGATTAGTCAAGTAAAGATACTTTTCATGATGTAAATAAGTAGCTATTGTCTTGGAAATATGAATTATTGAATAGAGCTCTTCCTTGACTTATGATGGGATTATGACCCAATAAACCCTTCATAATTTTAAAATATCATTGTTGAAAATGCATTTAATATACTTGATCTGCTGAACATCACAGCATAGCTTAGCCTACTTGAAATGTGCTCAGAACACTTACATTAGCCTACAGTTGGGCAAAATCATCTAGATGATAGAATTTATTTTACTTACTCATGAGTCCAATTGAGCAACTGAATATAAATGTTTGCTAATTTCTAAACAAAACTCTGAAATTTTAACCTCAAACATAAAATTTTGTATGTATCTTTGAACCAAATAAAATATTTTTTTCAAAAGGGTATTAATTTTAATACATAATATTGTTTTGTAATTAACAATACTATTGGTTTCTATATTTGCATAACTGATCTTTACACTGCTTATCCTTTTGCAACTTTTCTTTTTACTTAAGATTTTTGTGATTTCTCTGTATTTGTGAAAATAAAATGGACTCATTTATTTCTAAGTGTTTTTATTGGTCTTTGTGTTATATCATGTTTTAAATGTCCTTTTAATTTTTTATTCAATACTTTTATTACAGCAGTTCTAACCATGAATACTCTTGTTCATGTCTTTGTGTATACATGTGAGGCTTCCGTGGCAGTGTTTTGATTGATTGATGATTGATTGTTGTTGTTGTCTTGGCACAAATACAAAAAATAGATAATATATTTATATTGCATTTGAAAATTGTTTTTGGAAACTTCTCTAAGATTCATATACTCAGAAGTGAGATATCTGAGCCCTAGATGTTACACCATGGTTATAACAATCTAAGAATTAATTAAGAATACCTACTTAGCTAATTCGTGTACTTGGTATATTGACTACAATACTTCTGAGTGCTTTGTTGCCCAGTTCCTTGTCTAGGCTTCAGTATATTTTGTTTATTTACTAAAATTCTCAATGGATACCATCTAGGAGATTCCACACTCAGAAAAATAATGTCCTTCTTCTCCCCTCAGACCTAGTGAGAATTGAATTTTTCTTGCTAACTCCCAGATGATTCTGAAGTAAAATCTTACAAAGTCCTTGGCTCATTCTTCATGAGCCACTATTACCAGTGAGTAGAGTTCCAATGTTCCCATTTGTTTTCCTCTCTCCATCCAAGGGGGCTGATCTATCATAAGAATACTAATTGAAACTTTTTTATTCAGGAGAAGGAAGTTTTGCAGGTTAAACAACTATCATTCAACAAAATGTAAATGATGCTTTGTATTATTTTGAGGCTAGCTGTTACTTTTTTTATTTATTTTTTTCAGGTAGAAGTGAGGACACTGCCAGTGGCTATTCTTTTTGTGAATGACTTCTTGCAATCTCCCTTTAGTGAAAAAGCAGAACTGGTGGTTGATTTCGTCATACTCTGCAAACCAAAACACCTTCAGGACCTACTAAGGTCAGTGGTTCTCAAAGTTCAGTCTTCAGATGAGTCGAGCAAGAGAACTAATTAGACAATGAATTGTCTGATTGTCTCACCTTCAACAACGCCTTCCTCCTTCCCCATCCTCACTTATTTAATGTTACGAAAGAAAACCTGAGCATGGGAGCCATCATGTGCTCTAGTAAGTATTGTCAGCACTACTGATGTATGTACAAGATAGAGGACCACTGAGTTCAGTAAACTGGAAAATTCCTCACATAACTAACATGATGTGGAGACTGTAACAAGCTAGAGAATGTGTATCCTGTTTTGTAATTTTTTTGTTCTAACACTGCTAATCGGAAAAATAAAACCAGAAAAACAAACAAACAAAAAAAAAACACTTGTCTGTAGGTTGGCTTCTTCCAATTCTGCCCGCTAGCTGCCTGTTTTTAACGCCTTGCAGCATACTCTATGTTGTTCTTCTTTCCACTTACAGACTCATTTTGAGTGATAATTGTGTCACATTTTCTTGTTTCTCAGTTTTATTTTCATATCACTTGAGCTATGTGGTTCAGGCGTAACTGTATTAATTAGCAATTTTCACAAAGTGCTACATAATATAATATTAAATTCTTATTCAAAAATGATAAAATCATGATTACCTCCAAAGAGTCCTATTCTGGTAAGTAATCAAATAACAATGTAATAAAGCATTTTTAAAAATCAATTACATGAGGGATGCCTTGTGGCTCAGGACGTGATCCCGGGGTCCTGGGATTGAGTCCCACATCGGGTTCCCTGCGGGGAGCCTGCTTCTCCCTCTGCCTGCGTCTCCACCTCTCTCTCTGTGTCTCTCATGAATAAATAAATAAAATCCTTAAATTATGAGAGAAAAACACTAATCATTCAGTAGTTGATGGGTAGTTCTTCCGGATTTTTGACCTCAACAAAAAAGACAGAAAAAGTCAACTGCAACTTTGACTTTTTAAAATAGCTAATAATGTTCTAATAGTTCACAATTCTTTCCTTTTAAGTGTCCATCCCAAATTTTATATATGGAATTTTAAGATGATTTTAATTTCTATAGTAAAGTAATTATTTTCACTTTATAGGAAATAGAAACTAGAGGGTTTTTTTTCCCCATTACTACTTTTTAAATTTTTAATTCTTCATTAACATACAGGGTTATATTACCTTCAAGCATGGAATACAGTGACTCGAAAATTCTATACATCCTCAGTGCTCATCATGGTAAGTGCACTTTTAATCCCCTTTACCTATTTCACCCACTTGCCTCCCCTGCCATCCACATCCCCTCTGGTAACCATCAATTTGTTCTTTATAGTTAAGAGTCTGAGTTTTGGTTTGTCCTTTTTTTTCCTTTGTTCATTTTGTTTGTTTCTGAAGTTCCACATAACTGAAATTATACAGTATTCATCTTTCTCTGATTTATTTCACTTAGCATTATACCCTCTAGCCCCCTCTGTTGCTGCAAATGGAAAGAT